TGCTACATTACTATTCTTTATATTTGGCAATGTGGACAATTTATGTTAGCCCACATCTAAAAAACAATTATCACAGAAAGGCGAAGGAAACCTTGACTTGGAAAGAGCGGATGAACGTTAAATAGATGGCAAAAATTCATCTCGCGGAATCTCGGGTTGCGCAAATTTTGATTGACTTCCGTTGGTCATGGGAGCGCGCGAGAGGGTTCAGCTTTGTTTCTCAACTATTTTACGAATGAATCGATGTGAGTCAGAGTCTGCAGCTGTTTTTCAGGCGGCCTTCTTAAGGTCCAGTTATCTATGTTCCGGTTTGATTGTTTAATTTTTTAGAATTCATTCATCCGCTTGGGAACTTCATCTACGACAATAATGCACTTTGCCAATTCGTTCGTTTGGGGTGGGAGCTTGGCTTTATTTGCGGGAATGTTGTCACTCTTGTTTGGTTTGGTCTTTGGGGTGGTCGTTGTTGTCCAAATGTCTATTTGGGTCTCTAATGTGTATATCGATTGCTGGTTTTGAGGGAGCTTTCACGGAGTCAGAACCGTTTGTTTATGGCCGCAATTTTTTTCTTTCTTTCGTTTTTTTTTTTTTTTTTTTGGTGCTTTTGAAACCACGGGGGGTGAAGTAGTCGCAGAAGTTTGAATCTCTTCAAAAAGCGAGTTGATCGTTAGGCTGGCAGTCGGTTATTTTGCGTTGGCCATCTTGAGCCGCAATAGCGGGACATAATCACCCGATAGGATATCTTCCACCCTGGTATCGACGTCATTGGCAGCAATTTTGTGACTTTAATTGGAGAACGTTGGGTTCATCATTGAGATTCCGTTTGATAATTTCTGAGTTTGGAGGTGAGCCAGTTTGTGTATTATCAGTTTAAATTTGTGTTTGTGTGTCATATCGAATGCGAGCAAAAAGTTGGAAAAACTGCTCAACTAGTGGCCGTACCCGAAGGTACCTTATCAGCAAGTGAAATAAGAGAAAGAGAAGAAAGAATAAAATACGACCTGTTTTATCCAGCGAAAAAGGATGCAGCACTGGAAGTAAGGCGAAGCTTCTACGAGGCGAAAGAAGAAACCTCCCAGAGCCTGTGAGGCGAGGTCGACGAACTCGATTCAGTAGCGGGGTGGTAGAAACGCAAGGACACGGAAAGGAAAGCGATAAGACGTCTAGCTCGAACGCTGTCCCACCTCGGAATAAATTTTATGCAGGAATATAACTTAGGTTAACGTTAAAATAGTAATGAGATAGATTCTGCAAGAGAAGAAAAGGAAAAATGTGGTCACATGTACAACAACATCCGCATGTGTTGTGTTTACAATGGCGTCGATACCAGATATTCCGCTGAAAGTATTGATTTTTCGAATTTGGAAATTTATGACTATTGCCAGAAATTTAAAAATACGCTTGGAAATGATTTATCTTTCCTTGATGTCAACAAGAAGGGTATTTCGTTATTTAAGGAAAACTATGTGAGCAATATTCGTTTCAAAGTAATGCTGGATAGCATGGTACTTATAACAAGCTGTGTGAAGGCCGAAATTATGAAACATCTGCAATTTTCTGCAGAAAACGAGGTAAGATTTATAAATTTTCTTATGCGATGCTTACCAGTATTAATAATATTTTCATAAGAATATAAGTGCAATCAGTAATTGAAAACTATTCCCGAGACCTTGAATTACGTTTTCTAAACTTTAATGTAAGTGTAATAATAGTATATTCATAGTTCATACGAATAGTTTTTCTAAATTACTGGAATAGCCGAATTCATGAAGATCTGTTACCTGCAAGAAAATAAATACAAAGCCAATTTTCTCTTATTAATATTAATTAGTGTCATAGAATATTTTATTGCAGCTAAAATTTTATTAATTTTATCAGGATATGTTTGAATATTTTAGCTGTTGTAATTCATTTTTAATGAATACGCATAAATATTGGAATGTTAATTTTTTTAATACCTTCCATTGTAGATATTAAAGATACCAACAGCTGTAATATTAGAAGCATCCGTAATACTGAAACATTTTGATATAAATGTTGCTTTTATAAGAATTTATACTTAATTCTAAATTTTTATGGGAGACTTCTGAGTTTTTTTTTAGTTTAAATATTAAATTAGCATGTATATTTAGTCCTTGAAAATCAGTGGTTGTGTCAGTCCATAATTTGAGATAACAGTGCATTAGAAAACAGTCTATTTCCTATGGTAGATCTTTTCAATAAATACACTTGAAATCTGTTTGAGCTATAGATTTTTAAAAAAAAATTCTGCACATAAATTATGAAACTTACAAGATTAAAAAACTTCAAATTATTTTTGAATATTTAAAATGTATAGAGATAGTACTTTTTATTTATCATTATAAAATGAAGCAAAATGTTTATGAACATTATTAGTTTCACAGCTAGTACTGCAGGAACTCAGTTGCAAAATCTATATTTTCTTTTTGACATTCATATTATAGTATACAAAGTGTTTAATTTGTAGTTATACTATCAATAGGATAATAGTCAGTTGCTAAAAATTAAATTTTAATTTGTATAAAATTATATATTAATTTGAACCGCGTAGAACATTGGCATCGTTATCCTTACGATTTAAGGCCAACTGCTTTTACAGTGCTTTGGAAATTTGAGTATTCGAGATTTCAGAAACCAACAAGTTATATTTACTGTTCTGCTTGTTAAGCTGATAAAATGACTTTAAAATCATTAATAGTATTTTTCTTTCCGTGTAGAAGAGCAATTTTATATAACAGAGATTTATCATTTTTTACTTTTTTATAGATGAATAATTATCTATCAAGGAAAGAATTCATAAATAAATATTAAACATCAAAACATGGTAAAGCAGAGAACAAAGAGTATCATGAAGATAAATAACACATACAAGTTACCAAAATTATACTCACCAAATGAACAGGGAAACATGGATGAATGATGAAATAATTAAAGATGAAATGCAAATTCATAACTAATTAAAAATAAACAAAGTTTCCAAATTTTCAACACATCTACCGAAGCACAAGCTTGTTTGTTTACATTAGCAGTTCTTACATCACATGACCTCCGACGTCACCGGAATGTATCTCATTACTGCAAGTAAAGAGATCATGGAGGGGAATAACAAGAGGTCTAAAAGACTATTGTCTAAAAGATTATTGTAACAATTTCATTTAGGGAAAGAATTTAGTTTAGTATGATTTTAATGTAAAAACTAAGTTTAGACTGAAAGTAACCTCCTGATAAATCTCTTTGCTCGGAGAGGGACTATTCGCAGAGCGAAATATCAAGCACGATTGCGAAAGAAAACAACTCAGGAATGAGGCCTATCAGTTTTGCATAATAATTGTTGGAAAATTGAATCTAATTTTATAGGTAAAATAGAAGGTTGAGTTTAGCTTTACGAACCCGAAACTGAGTGCATATGTGGGGAATTTTAAAAACTTTTCATTGGGTAGAGGGCGCTGTGATCATGTACGATGGAGGCAGGATCTTGGAAGAGCTCCTGAATTTTCAAAGGTGTTTTCCGGAAAATCTTCATTTATTTCAGAAAAAATTTCGCGAAATATCCTCTGCATTGTCTCGTTCTCAAGGCCGGGGGTTCTCCTGTACCTGGGGGGCTTGTCTTCCTTGCAGTCTTTTGCAGCACTAAGACGGAGCGTTCAGATAAGTAGAACTTCTTTTCTCTAAGCTAAATTAAATATCTGTCAAAAACCTTTAAATTCATTTATTAGTATGATCATTTTATTTATTATGCTCATTTTATAATGTTCTGGGCATTAAATATTAGTAATTGTTTTAAATCATGTGGTTCTTTTTGGTTACCATCTCGTAGGTACGCTATCCTTATCACTCCCTTATCAATAGTGTTAGCCCTACCCATTGGGGCCCCTTGAGGAATTTCTCGAGAGGGAAAACCAAACGATCTCGGGCCTCAATGAATGTACAGAGTTGTAGTTTTTGCTCCTTTAATCTATATTTCCTATCTATTAAAAAAGCATATATTAATACAGTGCGCCTCAAATTGATAAAATAGTAGTACAAAATAAATATAAATTATGACCATAACTTAAATAAAAAATGCTATTTTAAAAAAAATTAATTAATAATAAAAAACTCCGTAATTTTTACTTATTATTTTTGCTGATATGTTCTCGCCTTGTTTTGGATTTATGATTTTATATGATGGTGTTTTCTGAGTATATAAATATGTTGAAACCGCAGTAAGATGATGTTACTTAGTTAATGTATAACTTTGCATGATATTATGTATCTTGATCTTATGTGTCTTCTGTTACTCTGTCTCAAGGTAGAGGCTATTGGTTTCCATATTAAAAAATAAAGTTAAATTTAAAATTTTTAAATTTTAGTTTCCCTGTTATAGCAAAAGTTAGCTTCTAAACTTAACTTATACTGTTATGTGAGTGGACCCCAATATTTATTATTTTATTAGTAATTTTTCCCCCATCTTTACATCTATTCAACGTTACAAACACACTCAATACACGCACCTGGAAGACTGTATTTAATGTAAATGATAAACAACTTTGACTACACTCATGAACACAACGGGGTTTTTTTTTTTTTTTTTTTTTTTTTTTTTTTTAACAAAATTCTCTTACTCCTTCCTTTCCCTTTCTTCTATAGGCCTTTTTTTTAATTATAAATAAAAAAATTTTTTTCCTCTCCATTTCTTTGGGCTATTTATTTTTTACTTTATTTGTCCCATCTTTCTTTCTTCCTGCCTTTCGAACTCGTATAAAATATACGAAGTTCCTTTTTACTCTCCTCTGAAATACGAAATTGCCCCCCTTTCTATATACCTTTCCTTCGCACCTACCGCTTGATTTTTCGCCCATCGGTGCACAAAGACGCGCGTGCAACAAAAGACATCTGTCTGCCTTAAAACTTTCATTGGCATTGGCTATTTCACCTGCTTGCAGAAAGATTTTATGAGTGCAAAACAGAAACGGTTGTCAACACTATTTAATTTTGTTTATCAACTGGAAACATGGAACGATACGTAAATGATGTTGTTATGCCTGGTGATGTATTGCTAGAATTAAACACTCTTGAAGGTGCTGGAGAAAAAATCGTTTTCGGTCCAGGTCTGCGACGTGAATCAGACAAAATAATTGCGTCCAAATGTGGTATTTTGAAACAGACTTCTTCAAAAGTATTTTATGTTGATAATCATCAGATGAGGGTTTGTAGATAATTTTAATATGAGTATGATATCTCATTGTAATGTAAATTAGGTACTTTTCAATTATCTGTAATCTCATTTTCTGCTTTTTATGTACTTTCGAGTGTACATGCGACAACAAACAACCGCGCTACCCACGTGTTTGAGTACACTGCATTTACCTGATTTATATTTAATAGAATGATAGTTACGGGGTGTAAAACTGTAATTAGTGGCTATATATATATTGCGTATATCACAAAATTTCTATTTTTTTATGTAAAATACTGCTGCTTTATTATTTAGAGCTAAATAGTACTTATGAAGATAGCCAAACAAACGTTTTTCATCAGTGAGTGAGAGACTTTTCCTGGGAGCAACCACACTGTAAAGTCACGTGTTAGTGATATTGGAGAGCGCTCACAAACTGGATGATTCTGGAAATGTTTGGTTATATTTACATCTATTACAGTGCTGCCTGTTTTTTAACAGCCTTCTTTTTACATGCATAGCATGCACACTACCTGTTTTTCGCACCTTTGTTCTCTTTATGTAAGCAGTGATCTTTTTTTTTTTTTTTTTTTTTTTTTTTTTTTCCAAAAAAAATAGAAATCAAAAGTTGACAATATGTACTATTTTGGCTTTTGGACAACTTGAGCAAATCCTGAACAAGAAGGTAGAAAGGTGCGTGATGCCTTTAAGCAATCTAGGTTACACAATACGTGTACTAAAAGCTAATTTGAGAAATTTTGCTAAAGAAATAAACTTCCAGTATCCAGTCCTTTATTGTGCTAAAATACTGAAATTTCCATAGGAAGAATCATAATCTGCTTTTGATTTTGGCAATAATTTGAAAAACAAAAGATGAATTAGCTACTGACATTAAAAATCATTGTTTTGATATGATAAATAATTTCAGCATGTATTTTCCTGAGGATTAGAGAGAAAAACGAATACAAATCCGGTTGATCTTTACATTATGGTAACTTGGCATTTTTTTGGCGAAAATTTGGCGACCAACTCTCCTACAGCAACCCTCTATTTTTTTTTCCCGCCGCCATTTTGTCTTCATGAAGTAAAGACATGTTTCTTTTCTTTTATCTACGACACTTCTTCCAACACTCTACTAGCCGAATTACACTTTGTAGAAATTTTATCTTACAAACTGCTTAATCATGACAAATATTCACTGCAAATTGGGAAAAAGTGCACAATACCATACTCCTTACGCGTTTTTCAAAATAACATACACATAAACCATGAACACGCCGATTTATTTTTACTTAAAAAACTCCCGAATTGCACAAAATGGCATTGTGCACACTCTTCACTATATCCATGTACACTGCTTTTTCTCATAAATTAGAAACATTTCACAAAAATACATGACATTTTCTCATCTTTAAACCCGGTAAAAAGAACATATATGAATTACCTGATCGCGAAAAGTATTTACCCTTTCTAAATTGAACATTTCCACATATAAATAAAAAATATCCAAAACTTTACCTCAAATCATCTATTACATTAACATTCACCACGATTCAGACCGCAAGCATTACAAATACTTAGTATCAAATATTTGAATTATTTCCATGCACGTTTTACTTCAACTTAAACATAACCAAATTCCTACAAACATAAATTCACAAAATAACACTCCTAAACCAATGTCGACTTATCTTTACTTAAAACATCCAGAATTGCACAAAATGGCATTGCGCACACTCTCACTATTCCAGTACACTGCTTTTTTTCTCATAAATTAGAAATTTCACGAATACATGACAATTTCTCAATCTTTAAAACCGGAAAAGAACAATATAAATACCCTGTCGCACCTTTCCAATATGAATTTCCACATATAAAAGAAATAAAGGTACTTTTCCGTTTTGCCAGCGCAAACGATAAATCGCCATTAATGGACAACTGACAAACGGAATATCTTCGCTGTAACCTTTACGCCCTCCTTTTTAAAACAAATACCCCATTTCGTACCAGATTGATTGCTCTTTTCATACGGCATACATTACAGAGAATATTTACAGATAATTAATTTATGCCCTAAGACAATCGCGTAATTAAGTCATTGGAATCAATCGCTCAACCGAGGCGAAAATATAGAAAACAAATTAGAGTAATTCATTCATTCTATGAATGTAGCGAAGTAAAGCACACGGTTTTACATTTCTGATAAGCTATTAGTACGAATGATAATTCTTGCTAAACTTATTCCAAATTAAGTTAACTTGAATTAATGTAAATAATTCTGAGAGAATTAGAACGTATTTACGAGTTGATATCAATAAATGATAACCTATTAAAAATGGCTTCAAAATCAAAATTATTAGAACGAACATGTTAATATTTTTTCTGTTTATACGGTATGTTGTCCGCCACAAGTCCTTGGCGACATTTTAACGGAAAGTACCTAAATAAATCCAAAACTTTACCTCTAAACATTACACACGTCACCAACGAATCTACCAGAAGCATTACAATACTTAGTATCAATATTTAATTATTCCATGCACGTTACTTCACTTAAACGTACCAAATTCCTACAAACATAAAATCACAAGTAACTATCATTTAATTAAAATTCACTAAACCAGTACACGTCGACTTACTTAAAAAAACATCCAGAATTGCACAAAATGGCATTGCGCACACTTCACTTTCCATGTACACGCTTTTTTCTCATAAATTAGAAAATTTCACAAAATACATGACATTTTCTCAATCTTAAACCGTAAAAAGAACTATATGAAATTACCTGATCGGAAAAGTATTTACCCGCCAATATGAACATTTCCACATAAAATAAATAAAATATCCAAAACGTTTACCTCTAATATCTATCCATTATACAGTCCCACGAATTCATACCGCAAGCATTACAATACTTAGTATCAAATATTGAATTATTTCCATGCACGTTACTTCACTTAAACAGTACCAATTTACAACAGAAATCACAAATAACTATCATTAATTAAAATATCACGAACATGTACAGGTCGACTTATCTTTACTTAAAAAAACATCCCAGAATGCACAAAATGGCATTGCGCACACTCTTCACTATTCCATGTACACGGCTTTTTTCTCATAAATTAGAAAAATTTCACGAAAATACTGACATTTTCTCAATCTTTAAACCCGTAAAAAGAACATATAGGAAATTACCTGATCGCGAAAAATTATTTACCCTTTCCAATATGAACATTTCCACATATAAATAATAAAGGTACTTTTCCGTTTTGCCAGCGCAAACGATAAATTCGCCATTATGGTACAACTGATGTCAAACGGAATATCTTCGCTGGGAACCTTTTACGCCTCCTTAAAACACAAACCCATTTCGTACCAGATTGATGCTCTTCATACTGGCATACAATTACAGAGAATATTTACAAAGATAATTAATTTTATGGGCCCTAAGACAATTCGCGGTAATTAAGTCAATTGATGCACATCGCTCAACCGAAGGCGAAAATATAGAAAAACATTAAGAGTTAAATTCTTCATTCTAATGAGAATGCACTAGCGAAGGAAGCACTACGGTTTTACATAATTCTGAGTAAGCTTAGTACGAATGAATAATTCTGCATTAAACTTTTATTCCAAAGTAAGATTTACTTGAATTAATGTAAATTACTGAAGAATTAGATTTTGTAGCGTAGTTACGCGAGTTTGAGATCAATTTAAATGATGAAACCATAAAATGTTATGGCTTCAAATCAAAAAATTAGAACTAACATTTGTTAATATTTTTCTGTTTATACTGTATGTTTCGCCAACAAAGTCTTCTGGCACATTTGCGCAGGCGAAACGGAACAAGTACCTAAAAAAATATCCAAAACTTTACCTCTAAATCATCTATTACATTATACACGTCACCAACGAATTCATACCAGAGCATTACAAATACTTAGTATCAATATTTAAATTATTTCCATGCACGTTACTTCAACTTAACGTGTACCAAATTCCTACAAACAAAATTCACAAAGTAACTATCATTTAATTAAAATATCACTAAACCATGTACACGTCGACTTATTTTACTTAAAAAAACATCCCAGAATTGCACAAAATGGCATTGCGCACACTCTTCACTATATCCATGTACACTGCTTTTTTCTCATAAATTAGAAATTTTCACAAAATACATGACATTTCTCAATCTTTAAAACCCGGTAAAAGAACTATATATTACCTGATCGCGAAAAAGTATTTACCCTTCCAAATAGGAACATCGAAATATCAAAACGTTACCTCTAATCAAACATTATACATTCACCAACGATTCATACCGCAGCATTACAAATCTTAGTATCAAATATTTGAAATGCACGTTATCAACTGAACATGTACCAATTCCTAAAACGAATTCACAAATACTATCATTTAAGAAATATCACTAAACCATTCACGTCGACTTATTTTCCTTAAAAAACATATTCCAAAAACGGTTACACTACCTTTGTAATCATCTATTTACATTATATCACTTTTGTCAGCGCAAACGATAAACGAACTTCATACCGCAAGCATTTCGTACAATACTTCAAGCATACAATCACATTTGAATTAATTAAGTCCATGCAATCGCTCAACCGAAGGCGAAAATATAGAAAAAACAAATTAAGAGTTAACATTCATTCTAATGAAATGCACTAGCGAAGTAAAGCAACTACGGTTACATAATTTCTAGTAAGCTATTAGTACGAATTGAAATATTCGGCATTTAAACTTTATCCAAAATTAAGATTAACTTGAAATTAATGTAAATAACAGCGTAGTTTAAGTTGAGATCAATTTAAATGAAAACCATATTAAAATGTTTATGGCTTCAAAATCAAAATTTAGAATAACATTTGTTAATTTTTTTCTGTTTAATGTATGTTGTCGCCAACAAGTCTGCTGCGACTTTGCGCAGGCGAACGGAAAGTACCTAAATAAAATATCCAAAATGTTACCTCTAAATCATCTATTACATACACGTCAAACGAATTCATACCAGAACTTGCTTAGTATCAAAAATTATTTCCATGCAGTTTACTTCAACTTAAACGGTACCAAATCCTACAAAAAAATTCACAAAGTAACTATAATAAAATATCACTGGTACACGTCGCTTATTTTTCTTAAAAAAACCCCAGAATGGCACAAAAATTGCGCACATCTTCACTATATCCATGTACACTGCTTTTCTCATAAATTATAAAATTTTCACGAAAAACATGAAATTTTCTCAATCTTTAAACGGAAAAAATATAGAATTACCTGTCGCGAAAAAAGGTACCCTTCCAAATTTTTCCACATATAAATAAATAAATATCCAAAAACGTTTACCTCGAAATCATCTATTACATTACATTTCACCAACGAATTCTACCGCAAGCAACAACTCACGATTCCATGCACGTTACTTCAACTTACATGTACCAAATTCCTAAAAACAAAACACAAATAATATTTAATTAAATATCACAAACCTACACGTCGACTATTTTTACTAAAAAAAAATCCCAGAATTGCACGAAAATGCATTGCGCACACTCTTCACTATATCAAACACTGCTTTTTTCTCAAAAGAAAAATTTCACAAAGTACGGACCATTTTCTCATTTAAACCCGTACCAAATCCACAACATAAAATTCACAAAATAACTATCATTTAATTAAATATAATTAAATTCAAAACACTACTTAAAATATAAATGAGCACATACATTAAATTTACCATACATACATACCCATTTCGAATTCACTTTAGTTACGGCTATGGGATGCAAAAATTCACGAACACTGTTTCACACACAACAGAATAAAGCCAATACAAATTTCCAGATTTTTTCCCGATTTCCCCCCTTTTCCGATTAAAGAACGGTAATTCGTCCATTAATATCACATGACATATCCCATGATCTCTCATTCCTCACAAAATAATGCGTAATCGGAACTGAGTACTGCTCACATTATTACCAAAGTCCAGGTAGTAACCTTTATCGCCTCCAAAATGTCGCCAAACTACCAGTTACCATATTGTAAAGATCAACCACAAATCCATTTTATTCAAATAAATGAAACTTAAATTTTATCTCATGAAGAAAAAGAAAGAATTCATAGAAATTTTTTGTGATCGAACTCTAACTGAAGATTTCAAAAACAACACATTTTTTAACTTTTGGCCGAACGACAAAAAATAAAAATAAAAATTTAAAGGCATTTGAAATAAAGCTATTACACTTTTATTGCCTTTTTGCGTAACCTATTTGTGTAAACAAGGATTTTCTGTGATGTTATATTTGAAAAATAAATACACAGCAAAATTAAAAGTGGATCCTAATTTATGGTTAAAACTAAGTGAAATAAGACCAGACATAAAATCTCTCTTAAACAGACCCAAATTTCACACTAAATTTTAGAATTAAAGTATTATAACTTAGATTTGGTGAAAATATTTTTGAAAGTGCCCCTTGGTGAAAATTGGCAATTTTATCAGTACATGGACACCGAGTTTGTGCAATTTTTTCAATTGTTATTTTGGCTCTGTGTAGCAGTGATTTTTGTGCCCAAAATCACTGCTAGACAAAGCCAAAATAACAAGTCAAAGAATTGCTTAAACTGGCTATCCATGTGCACAATGACCTATTTTCTCTTAAAAAAATATCAGAGAATTGCACAAACTGGACATTGAGTACCCCTTCACATCGATCTATTTTCCCTTAAAAAGTCAAAAGAGCAGCCAGTTTTACTCTAGATCCAAACAAAAGGTATATAAAAAAAGAGACTAACTGCTCTAGAGCCAAACAAAAGGTATATATAATAAATGTATATAAAGTATTTTAAATCAAACAATGAAATAACATTGAAAAAGGAAATTTATCTTATAACATCAGAGCACTACACAAAGAAAATGTAAACTTACTTTATTTAGAAATTTCCATGTCTTCAGTCTGTGCCACACAAATTTCTTTAACAGCATCAAAAAATTTCCTAAAATTATCTGAACTAGAATCTGTATACTGGCATCCCCACATAAATTCACAAAAAATAAGAGTAAAAAATATCCTCCGATGTTCGACCATATGCATTTCCTTCCTACAAAACAAACATAATGGCTACTAAGTAAACCTTCATTTACACACCAGTCAGTTAATGCTTTCTTTCCTTTTCATTGGAAATCATACAGAAACTTCAAATTAATCTTACCACATTCAGCCATTTTACTGTGTAACCACAAAATAAGCAATGTACTTCCTAACTAACATCCAACACACAAACAAGACCTTACAAATCTTTTCTCATCAATCAAAATCACCGCAATCACACAACCAATTACATCATAATAGGGTTTCCATAACATTAACTATTCAGGTTACCATAAATGAAACAACAATGAAAAACGAAGCACAGCAAATTGGTGATAAACAAAACAACAATTTTGTGATAATCCAAGGGGCACCCTTAAATTTTGAAAATTAAATTGGAAACCAATTTTTAATCTAATATTTTTTATGTGTGCATATTTAATACAAATAGCCAGTAAGTTGTGCGAATGGCAAAAAATATATATTTTTAAATATTTCCATTGAGAAAGGGAAAAATAGTCACTGTAAAATGTAGTGGTGGTACTGCATTTTTTTTTGTTTTTGTTTAGATGGTACGCGTTAGTCAAAAGGTTGAGAACTGCTGACCTAGGCAAGTGCCCCAAGTACAATTTCTAGGTTAAAATATTAAAATAAAATGGACATTTCATACTTTTCTTAAAGAACATTATGTATTTTATAGAATGTTTGCTGATTACATTTTTATGGTAACATATATATTCTTTTTTTTAGTGCAAACAAATTTAATAAGGTTTAAAAAGCAAGGAAGATCTTTAAGATTGAAAAATGTGGCAAGGAAGTTTTGTTATATTTGATAATACATCAAGTTTCTTACTTCTACGCATCATGAAATCATTATACACTCAACTAATGCATATTATTTATGAATATGTTAATTAAACCATAGTAATATTCAAGTATTTTCAGATTGTTAATAAGCATAGTATGCAATTGTTATTCATTTCACATTACTTATCGAATGCAATTGTCAGATATTTTAGAAATTTTTTAAATTGGCTTCTTTTTGGTTAGCTATAGGGTTTGATGACTTTTCTGGAAGTAAATAATTTAAATAAATTATGCTTAATTTTGTGTATTGTTAAAGGTAAGTAAGCAATGGATGTAAAGATCTTTAGGCTTTTAGTGCAGGAAATATGCTATTTTCAGGATTCAAGTTAATTTCTCTGCCAGTTAAAGGGCAACTCAGGAGAGGTATGACATCCAGTCCAAAATCCAAGTGTTGATGAATAAGAATAAGAGATTACAATAATTTCTTACATGCTTGCTTTAAAATTCATGTACTATGTAAAATAGCATAGATATGTTGTATTTTTATTTATCGGAAATGATTTAATTTATATTAATTAGATTAAAGATAATATTTGTTTTATTTTAATTAGATTATTGAATTATAAATGTGGAATTAAGCGTTAATTTTCTTTCAGTATATTCCAGTTCGTGGGGATAATGTGATTGGTGTTGTTATCAAGAAAGGTGCAGATGAAATTCAAGTTGATATTGGCTGTAGTGAACCAGCTGTTGTAGATATGCTCAGTTTTGAAGGAGCTACAAAGCGGAATAAACCAATGATAAAGGTTGGAGTCAGCTTTTTAAATAAATAAAAACATATTTTTTATATGAATTTACATTAAATAATTTAATTACAAGGAATAGTATCATTCTGTTCTGTTTATAAAATTCATTTAAATTATAATTTACTATCACAGCTTGATATTACTATTATTAATAGTAAAGAAAAATGAATTGAAAATGTATGTTTTGTAATTTTTTCAGATTTCTTTAATATGCTGATGTTTCATTTAGGGGAATATGAGTTTATGAAGAGCTGGTTGGTTTAGTTGGTTTATTTGATTATACGAAGCACATGAGGGCTATCTGCCTAAGGGGGATATAAAAGGCTATATTCATTACACATGGGGAAAGCCATGAAAATGCCCATACATCCAGCCCATTTGCTTGGATTCAAACCCCGGATCCAATTACCAGGGTTCAGCGACTTTACCATTCGGCCACTGGTGGCCCTAATGGATAGCTGTATTTTAACATTAATTTTACCTAGATTTGTGTAATTTTATAATTTTGTTTTCACTCATTTATATTTATTAGATGGCATTTTTATAATTAAATAAAATATAAGGCAATATGTGCCTTGTGACAGCAATGTTCATGATAGCTTAAAAAGAGATTTTACTATTGAGACGGCTGAAAAACTTTTGTGTATTTAAAATCTGCTTGATATATTATATCCTTTTCAGTAAGCTTTTATGAAGCAGATTAGAATAATGGTCAGCTTATTGTCATTCTTGATTAATGTACTGGAAATATATTTTAAATGTAGGAAAATAAGTTACAAACATTATAATGAAACGTGTTTATTTTCAAGACAAAAGGGGTTGATCTTTACATTATGGTAACTTGGCGATTTTTTGGCGAAAATTTGGCAACCAACTCTCCTACAGCAACCCTCTATTTTTTTTTCCCTGCTGCCATTTTGTCTTCCCGAAGTAAAGACATGTTCTTTTCTTTTAGACTCTACTGAAACTCTTCCAACAATCTACTAGCCGAATTACACTTATGCTAGAAATTTATCAAACAAAACTGCTTAATCATGACAAATATTCACTGCAAAATTGGGAAAAAGTGCACAACCATACTCCTTACGCGTTTTTCAAATACACATACACATAAACCATGTACACGCCGACTATTTTTACTTAAAAAACTCCCAGATTCCACAAAAATGGCATTGCGGACACTCTTCATAATCAATGTAACTGCTTTTTCTCATAAAGAAAAAATTTCACGAAAATACATGACAATTTTCTCATCTTTAAACCCGGTAAAAAGAACATATATGAAACCTGATCACGAAAAAGTATTACCCTTTCCAAATATGAACATTTAAACATATAAAATAATAAAATATCCAAAAACTTTACTTCTAATCATCTATTATATTATAAACGTCACCACGAATTCATACCGCAACCATTACAAATACTTAGGGCAGTAAATATTTCCATGCACGTTTACTTCAACTAAAACGTATACTAAATTCCTACAAACATAAAATTCACAAAATAACTATCATTCATTAAAATATAATTAAATTCAAACACTACTTAAATAAATGAGCATACTTAAATTATAAAAATAACCTTACAATCCTATTACTTTAACTAAATCATTGCTAGAACAATTTCCCAATAATACCAAATCCTTCCACCTTCAGAAACATGCATAAAAATAATATCCTCAAATAATTAAAAACTAACTTACCTAATCTTCTTCAGAATCTTGATACGGTCCATAACTTTTCTCTTCTGTTTCAGGATCTTAAAATCATACTATATTTCACAGCAAGGTACCAGGTAAATAAATAACTTAATAAACATCTTTATTTCTATCTCGCACAAACCTTACATAAACATTACTACCCTTCATACCTAAATACCCATTTCGAATTCACTTTAGTCGGCCATGGGATCCAAAATTAACCAACACGTTTCACACAACACAGAATAAAGCCAATAACAAAATTTCCAGATTTTTTTCCCATTTCCTCCCTTTTCCGATTAAAGAACCGTAATTCGTCCATTAATATCACATGACATATCCCATGATCTCTCATTTCCCTCACACAAAATAATGCATAATCGCAACTGAGTACTGCTCACATTATTACCAAAGTCCCAGGTAGTAACCTTTATCGCCTCCAAAATGTCACCAAACTACCAGTTACCATATTGTAAAGATCAACCACAAAAGGCTTTAAAATATACCTTGGGATCATAGTTTGAGAACTGTGTGATTTACATAGCTTAAAAACTTATAGGTTTGCATGTGAACTGATCAAATTTCCAGTCATTCTTAGATGCATAAGTTTTAAGAGCCTGAAATAGAAATTTGTTTTGTTTTGAAATTGAGTAGCTTAAGGTAAATTAATAAAGATTTCATATTTTTTAATTAATGCAGTTTTATTTGTAAGGCTAAGTAAATAATTCTTGTCTTTCTTACTATGTATTCAGAAAGATATATCCAAATTATTTACTTTCCTTCCATTCAGTTAGGAAAGTAATGATTTATTTTAATTAAATTACTCAATTACTTTTAGTAGGAGCAAATTTGAATTTGATGAAGATGTGATCTTGATAATTTTTATAATAAATCAAGATCTTCTCATTTCAGTAATGAATAAGACCATAATTTAAAAAAAAATCTGAAAGGTTTCAGATTTTAAATTGTGTCCAAAGGGGCATTTTTTTAGCATTTTGTGCTAAAGGTATAGATATAGGTAATCTTTTTAGCATTTTGTGCTAAAAAATTACCTGTATGTATAAAAAAATTAGCTTTATACCTATAGCGATTACCTTTATCTCTTAAATATCATGTTTTTCTCACTTAGAAAATGAAGTTCAGTTCAAGAGCAGTATCACAAAATACTTTTAAAATGGGCATATCCTTTGGAATTTCTGATACACAGTCTTGCACGCTGGTGATAAAAATATTTTTTCTGTACAACGTAGCTTGCTATGAAATCCTTGAGTTTGTTAATAAAATATTCGTTAAAGTTTTACAAAATATGAAATCGATAATAAAACAAATTCCAAATTTGAAATTTGGTCTTCTAGATGCCCATATTCGCAGGAGGATTACATTATTCAAAATTTGATGAAATCGATAATAAAACAAATTCCAGATTTAAAATTTGGTCTCCTAGATCCCCATATTTGCAGGAGGATTACATTATTCAAAATTTGATGGCTGTAGGTACCAATGTTTTATCACAATGTGAGAAACATGCATACATTTATGGAGATTCTTCATTATTTAATTTCTGCGATTCTTTAATATTTAATTTAATTCATTATTTAATTTTTGGTGGCAACAATTTAAAATGTGAACAATGCTTGTAGTGAATCAGCGCAAAATGCCAAAATGAAATTAATAGTCCTTCTAGGCAAATTGTCCCTTTGGACTAAAAATATAATCAATGATTATTCTTGAATTACATACACACTTGAATTACTCCTGTTAAAGGTGTATAAATATATGCCAGGATAAGCTTGGAGAAATTGAAATCAAAGTGTGGAAATTATATTAATAAACTGTCAATTTACAAGTGCTTTTGAGTAAAGTGTAATTTTGTTTTTCACCCACGACTAATGTGATGGTAACACATGTATAAAAACTACACCATAAAAAAATGAGATAATCCACATTAGATACAATACACTGTGATTAAAATGATTGTATTGTTCTAGTAGATACTCAAAAAATGGCATCATTAGTGCAATAAGCTGCAGAGACATAATTATTTCTCTTTTATTTTTTAATCTAGTGATCAGCCCAATAAATTCATTTTTAAATTATTATACAAATATTGTAACTTTAAAAATTAAATTGTTAGTAAAATGTGTCATACTTCAAATTATATTCCAAATATAAAACTATTGCTTCTCTCACTGCCAACGGCATTTAGTGAGTTAAAACTTTTACCCATGCTTGGTTTATACTAGGAGTCCCCAACCTTTTTAACCCTAAGAGCTCATTCTGGAATATCTATTGAACAGCAGGCACCATTTACTTTTTCAAAATGAATTTATAGTTGGATAGAGTTCATAATACAAGAGATCAGTTGCATTTCACTTTGTCTTGGTAGTGTTAGAAGAACTTCTGTTTCATTAAAAATGAGAAAACTTTCACATAGAATTTTTTTGAAAACTAAAACATTTTTATTGTGATTGCACGGCGGCAGGCGCCATGGTTGCCCATGGGCATAGGGTTGGGAACCCCTGGCTTATGCACTTTTATTGTTGAAACTTCCATAACTTTAAGGGAAAGAATTGAGACAATAAAAGTTACTCTAATATTATGATGATTAGAGATGTAAAATTTTCTTGTATTTCTGTAAGGATTGTCACATATTTCCATTTGCTTGGTTTTGATTCTCTCTCTGTCATCTTCTTACTACTTTTTTTTTCAATGCTTTCAGTGATTTTTTTCTTATTTGTGTGTTATGAAACATGTTAACTGGATTAATATTTTAGTATTATTATTTGTAGTTTGGATTATGAGATACTACATGTATTTGAAGAGAAATATCATGATAATTGAACAGTCTAAAGAGCCTTTTGTCATTTTTGTAGATAGGAGATATAATTTATGCTAAAATATTAGTTGCATGTAAAGACATAGAGCCGGAACTTGTATGTGTTAACAGCTATGGAAAAAGTGTTGGATATGGTGTTCTTCCTGATGAAGGTTTTGTGTTTCCTGCATCTTTAGAATACTGCAGAAGGTGAGAATTTTTAGTCACAAAAGTTTTCACTGTTATATTTCCTTTTCTTAAATTTGTATACTGTTATACTGAACTAAAGTAGAATCATGAAGATGCAGTCTGTCATGACAAACAATACAGAGTTAAAGGATCATCTGAAGTGATTCTCAGTCAAAAATCAGTTAACATGAAGTTATACAACTCATGATGTTTTCAAATTTTTGTAAGAAACAAGCATTTATATATATATATTTTATGTTTCTGTGTAAATGCATATGAAATTTAAATGATTATAATTTTTAAATAACCAAAAATTATTCTGAGATTGGAATAAATGCTGGGAACTTTCAGAAATTATCTTTATCAATATCCTTTTTTTTAATAAACAATCACATGTCCCTCTTTATGAACTTATTTAAGTTATATAATTTACAGATACAAATGACAAGTTCAACACAGGTACAGGTAAGGCTGACACTTGTGCATTGCCAAATGTACATTAGGTACTGATGGACTTGCTAACTGTTAACCTCCACCCCAGTTTTGATGGAGAACATCCCAGATAGTGATCTGAGGGTCTTCTATCCCTATTTCTGTACCGCCAACCACTTGACTTTTGGTTTGCAATGTATTTTTAGTGCCCTGTTCCACACAGACTATATACATTTACAAACATCCATGCCTTCCTGAGATTCAAACCCAGGCCTATCAATATAGCAGTCAGCATCACTAATCACTATTCTGACTGGGCAGCACAAATTGAATTAAGAAAAATCTTCAATTTTTTATATTTACTGGCAAAGCACCACTGTTTGAATTATCACCAGTTATTATGGTGTCTGAAAATTTCTAATGGCATTTAAAATAGCAACAAAATATTTATCCTACTATCCTTTTACCAGAAACTCTATTTAAAACACTATGAGTACAAACTTCATGCAGAATACTGTTTCAATATATTACTATTTTGTCAGCGATATCTAGCTGTTCTTTTCTCTATTCAGCATATGTTAATTCTCACTATATGTTGTAAATGAGCTGCAGTCACAAATCTGTTTCTACAGTGCTCGGACCACATTCCTTTTCAAATGGACACAATTTTACCACAGTTTTTCATGTTACATTGCCATTGTTTATCTGTTTTCAAATAAAGTACCATATCCTGTTCATTAACACACAGTAAAAGGTAGGCCTAAGTTTAAAAAATATAATTTCAGAATGCAAGAGAAAAAGATACAGGAATAGCAATTAGTATCCTTGTTCATAAAAATAAAACATGGCTTATCAAAAATCAATCTAGGTTACATCAAACGAATGTGTAAATATTATGAGTGTGTTGTAATGTCAAGCTTACCTGTAACTTACAATAAATAGTGCTCCTGGGTGGAAGTGTCAAAGTCAGTAGGATAATCCTTAAGTTTAAAAAATGTTATAAACAATTAAAATTAAAGTATATCATTATTTTTAAGTTGCGTTATAATTAGAGGGGGAAAGTATACAACTTTTGGTGTAAAATCATATTTACTTGTTTGTGAAAACATATGGCCTAAATTATATAAATTAAAATTACCAAATGTACTTTTCGCATAAACTTTACAAGATATATGAGAAAAATAGCGTTGTATCATCATCTGTTATTGATAGATCAACATCTTGGAAATGTGTTGATCATCAAAAATATAGTGAATATTTATATTTTCTTCTTTATTTTGCATCTGCATTATATTTTTATGCTTCTCAATATAAGATGAATCTTTTGTATTTTAACATTTTCTATTGTTTTATATGCATTTTTTATCACAGTTTTAATACTATGTAATGAAATATTACACTAGAATTCTATTAAATCACAAACGTCTGTAATGCATGTTTTTGTAATGTTTGTAAGAGCATGTTATTGCTAGTTAATGATATGTAGGATCTTTTCCTTATATTTGATAATATAAAAGACATTTTCTTATTAGTATAAGAAAATGTATATTGGAAAAGTTATTTTGTTTGTACTTCATTAACCTTCCAACAATATAGAAACAAACAAACTGACAAATATATATGCCTATATATTCGGTCTACTGGAAAGTTCTGTCAATGTTTTTGTATTTATAAACAAACAAATGAAAATCCTACATGGCAACAAATTTATTGGCAATTTTTATTATATGTTTCCCTAATTTCTACTGCCCAGTGCCTCTCCTAAATTTTAAAAATTATGTCGTCTCTGTTAAATTCTCATTCCCTGTGCAGACACATCAGTGTTACCTGCTGTGGTACTATCCCTGTGGTGGGTTATCGTTTTACTAAGTTACCTAGACATATACCCCAATGTTGCCATGTCTAAAGTATGTACCCCATAAAAGTATATACCCCAATGTTGCCATGTCATAAAAGTATATACCCCATAAAAGTATATACCCCAATGTTGCCATGTCTACATATCACCATACTAGATATAAACTGATGATCTGACATCTGGAAATTTAAAAAATCCAGAACCCGCCAAAGTCCCGACAATTCCAGATTTTGGACTTTGTATTGTATTTCGTTGATGGGTCACATGCATGAATAGTTCTTCTCTGTTTATACTTTAGTCCCTCCCCTACTTCAGGTTTTTCTCTTATCTCTGTATAGTGTAGTTTGTGAGTAACTGCATAACTACTATATGTGTATGACGTATTCTTTTGTGCAGAAGATTTTCGAAAGAGGGAACTAAATTTTTTAGGGAAGATTAATTGGACATCTTATGCCTGTAGCAGAAAAATTTGAATGTGAAAAGTGTAAAATTGAAACTGATATTGTGTTTTTGTCGTGGTGGCTAACCTCACATGTCTGACCTAATCAGAACAAGCTTGCAAATTATAGCATGAGAAGGATTTCAAGATTGTGTCCATCATTGTCATGAGCCTGTAGCACCATCTACGTGACAGTATGACTTGCAATCACAAGTGCTATTTAGCACAAAATAAATTTAGGTTGATCTTTGGATTATGGTAACTTGGCGATTTTTTGGCGAAAATTTGGCGACCAACTCTGCTACAGCAACCCTCTATTTTTTTTTCACCACCATTTTGTCTTCACGAAGTAAAGACATGTTTCTTTTCTTTTTATTTACTCAACACTTTTTCCAACAATCTACTAGCCGAATTACACTTATGCTAGAAATTTTATGTAACAAAACTGCTTAATCATGACAAATATTAACTGCAAAAATTGGGAAAAAGTGCACAATCGCAAACTCCTTGCGCGTTTTTTCAGAATAGCACATACACATAAACCATTACACGTCGACTTATTTTTACTTAAAAAAAATCCCAGAATTGCCCAAAAATGGGCATTGGACACACTCTTAACTTTATCCATCTACACTGCTATTTTCTCATAAATTACAAAAATTTGCATGAAAATGCAGGAAAATTTTGTGAATCTTTGAAGTCGGTAAAAAGGCACGTATATGAAATTACCTGATCGCAAAAAAGTATGTATACTATGCAAGCTTTTATACCTTCAGCTTGCATATACCCTTTCCAAAGATGAACATTTGCACGTATAAAAATAAATATCCAAAAACTTTTACCTCTAAATTATCTATTATATTATAAACGTCACCAATGAATTTATACCACAAACATTAAAAATAGTTACAAATACTTAATGTCAAATACATTTACTTCAACACATTTACTTCAACTGAAACGTATACCAAATTGCTACAAACATAAAATTCACAAAATAACTATCATTTAATTAAAATATCACTAAACCATGTACACGTCGACTTATTTTTACTTAAAAAAAATCCCAGAATTGCACAAAAATGGCATTGCGCACACTCTTCACTATATCCATGTACACTGCTTTTTTTTCTGATAAATTAGAAAAATTTCACGAAAATGCATGAAAATACTCAACGTATACTACAAACGATTCCAAAATCTATGAACATATAACTCACAAATCATGATCATAAATTTAAATTAATTAAAAAAAAACACTACTTAAAATATAATAAGCACATACATTAAATTAAAAAATTAGATTACAATCCAATTACTTTAAACTAAATCATTTGTAATAACAATTTTCCAATAATACCCAATTAATTTATTTACTCCTTACATTTAGAACAATGCATAAAAATAATATCCTCAATGATTAAAAATACTAACTTACCTAATCTTCTCAGAATCTTCATTACATGGCACGCACATCCCACAGAAAGAGTTCCATTCGGCTGCAGTACTACTGCTAATTTCTAAAATCCGAAATCCGTAGTCAACTGGCAGTCTATTCACCGTAATAAAAATTAATAAAATTTCACCATACTCAACTACTTCAGCAAACCATGTACCCTTCCTACACTCGTTTCACAAAAGTCCATTTCACCAATTTCTTGCACCGCATTCAAATATCAGTATATCCTTCCTTTCACAATCTCGACTTATTATTATTATCAGATAAACACATTAAAAATTTAGAATTCACTTTACATAGCGCCATCCAATCCGAAAATTATTTCACACAACACACAATGAAGCTTAATACAAAATAATATAGTACTACAGATATTTTTCCAAATTTTACCCCCTTTTCTGATTAAAGAACTGTAATTCGTCCATTAATGTCACATGACATATCTCATGATCTCAACTGAGTACTTCTCACATTATTACCAAAGTCCTAGGTAGTAACCTTTATCGCCTCCGAAATGTCGCCAATCTACCTGTTACCATATTCCAAAGATCAGTCTAATTTTATAGTGCTTAAGAGGAAAAAATATGGCAAACTGTCAAACGATGCCTTTTTAACCTAGAAATTTGAGGAGCGAATCTGGTTGGCACCCAAATTTTGCTCTTGAATCTACAAAACTGTATTTGTGATTGATAATTTTATTATGCATATCTTCAAAATTCTGAATATTTTATGGATGCTTAGTTTTGTTGATTAAGGAAAAATAAACCATTATTAGACATTAGTCTCTTAGCAGTTTGCTACTGCCGAAGAACATGGCTAGCTTAGTTTTTAGT